CATCCAACATGGCTGCCACTTTTATTCCCTTAGGAATGATTACAAACCACGTTAGAACATTCCCCGCTGTTGTTCTAGAGAGGAAACGCTCGCCTTTTCGCGTAAGAACCTCTCTTAAGAACCTGTTCGGTTATTTTTGAAAACGGAATTTTTTCTCGTTGCGAAATGGCCTTCCATCCTCACATATCCGGTGAGTACGCCACTTGAAAACGAAACTTTCCGAAAACGAATACGTGTTGACTTTTTTAAAAAGGGAGTGAACAAATTGAAAAAAAGAGTGGATTATCTTTCGATGTGCTGTTCTCTTACGACTACTCAGGGTGCTCCCGTTCTCCTCCTTCCACACGATTCAAAACCGAAATAAATTTCACACAACGAAGTGAAAAAAAATTGATGATGAATTGATGAAAAAAAAGTTTCGGCGATAAACAACTGATTTTCATTTCTTGATTTCTTTTTCCTTACAAGAATCTATTGAGTGTTTGTTCTCTTTTGACTTGCTCTTCCCGCAGGTTTTTTTTTTTCAAAAAAAAAAAAACTCTTGATAAAAACTCTTGTTAAAAACTCTAATAATCACGATAAACTGCATAAAGATAGACTAAAATAAAAGGCCGGCCGTCTTACGGAATTTTGTAATTACGATGCTATAGGATTTTAAAGTCTTTTGAATCAAGTGTCTATTTGAAAGGTGAAATTGTTTCACGGGAACATTGAGCACTTTGCTCAAAATTCTTCTGGGTAGAACAAATGCAGTGCTACTAAAATCACATAACTTGCTCTAGTTTCGGTGTGGTTTGATTAAAAAATAATATTAGTCGTCACATTTCAGTCCATCGTAAACTTGAATTTCGTTGCCGGAGTTTCTCCAGCACGTCTTCAACTTCTTAATTTCACTTTGTAAAAGAGCGTGCTGTTTTCTTGTCAGCAATTCGAGACCATCTTTGTCATGTTTTCCAATAATTGTTGTAGATCGAATGACTATAGCAATTGGGGTTCCCGGTTCACTACAACTCCCATCCTGGTCGTTTATCTGAATAGTTTTCGACTTTTGAGTAAGGAAAAGTACTGAAGGACTGCAACCCATATTTTTGCTAGCGATACTTCACTGCCGTACAACCAATTGACCAAAATTTAAATAATTCAAAAAATTTAAGTACTGATTTTTTAAAAATCTTACAATTAATTCCACTCCAACCAATCAAATGCCAGATCTAAATTAACCTGTCAGCTTTGTCGGCTTTAACGATTCATTGACATATACATCGAAGGGCTTCACTTAATTTCATTCCATTTCAATTAACTTTCGTTATCACCGTCATGCAGCACCGAACCGCCACCATAAAGCCGATAACCAGAGAGGAAGCACGTACTTTAAAGCCGCTGATGTCAGAACTTTCATCTTATTACTTGCGTTGCCAAAGTCAACTTCGAGATAGTTCTTAAATTTATTTAAGCCCTAATTCGAAATGAGAGTTTTGACTTTGCAAATACTGAGAAACGAGTTGCTGCATATTAGACGAATTGCTGCAAATAAGAAATTGAACGAGCTGAGTTGCTGTTTCTTTGATGTTTGCTGCAACTCGTTTCTTATTTGCAGCAACTCGTCTAACTTGCTGCATGTCCCTTATAGGCCGCCGTTATATCATGACCAGAGTAGGATAAAATTGATGTCAAGCAAAAGATGGTTTGCAAGCATTCCAAAGAGAGTCAAAAGACCAAAAAAAAAAATGGCGGCCATATTGTTGCCGTTACGGAGAATGGATGCTGTAATAAGGAATCTTTTGTTAAATGGCGTTAACAATGACGTTCATACTGAGGTAATTAACTTGCCGCCGGCTGTTTTTGTTACCTTTTCTAGAAGAGTAAGATCTTTGGTAGACTTGCACACAACGGTAATGTTGGCACCAACTAGGAACAGAACTCCCAGTAAAAGGTTAACGAACAGAGAAGTAGAAAAGAAAAACCCAACCGCCCTGTGGAAAGAAAAAACAAATAGTTTCCAGTTTATCGACAGATTTCCAGGGAACGTTGATAACAAATGTGTCACAAAAAGAATTCTTTTACTGATTTTCACGACGACATAACGTAATATCCTTTGGTGTCCCAAGGGAAAGGCCTAGTTGTGGACAACAATGGCGTAATACTGCCGTCGTCATGACAACTTCACACTCCTTTTTCCCCCCTATTTCACCCCAACTTTTCACGGCATAACGTCAAAGATATCTAAAATCACGAACACAGTGACAAACTTACCACATCAATGCTTTACCACCACAATCAGCCAAGGTAGACCTGGTACTAGGTGTGTCATAGTCACGTGCTCCGAACATCCCAGCACTGAGCCCGCAGTATATCAGCAGGATAGTGAACAGGATGGTACAGGCGAGTACTGACATTCCTAGAAATCTGTATGTGTCATACTCTTCGACCATTCCACCCGGTCCAAAATAAGTGCTTATATTTTTCTTAAGTGGAACGAGAGTGTCTTGGACAATCTGTAGATGAAACACACCATTAGGGAAACCCGATAAGGTCATAAAAACTAGAAGCGAGAAGTCCTAGAACCGAGCCAGAAAAGCATGGGCCGCCGGAGTTTTAGCGCGAAAATTATTCCCGCCAAAACGCGGCCCTCGCTCTCTCCACAGGAACCCCATTAAAAGCAATCGTTCGAACCTGAGCAAAGAAAGAGAACTCCGACGTGTAACATCGTAGAATATTTTTTTGGGAAATGAAATTAAAATGGAATACTAAGGGGGGAGGTGAAGGGAGGGCCTGCAGGCTCAATGTCGCTGAAATTAGGCATTAACATTTATACAATAATATTAAATTCCTATTGATAGTTACCACATGAGACGATTCTCTGACGCTTGATGTTATATCATCAAACGCATCACTGAGATTCTTCACGAAGTCAATCACCTCTACAAAACAGATAACATTAAAAGTCACTAGTTAAATAAGCGACGTAAGATAACTCAGTACCCGATAGCTAACGGGAACGGCACTGGTCTTTGCTCGCGGTAGTTTTTCACAGACATATGTATATAAAATTTGTTTCATAGGTTGAGGCCAATGCTTGCTTTCATAGGTTTATTCAAATGCTGAGAAAAAGCATTTATGTCGATGTGTAATTTACAAAAATGAAGCTCACCTTGTCTTTTTGAATGAGTAGTATTTTCAATTTCTTTAGGAACTCCCTCCAATGTTTCATTGCCCTGCAAAGGATAGATTTGGCAATATTTGCATCTTATAAAGTTGAATTACACTAATGGGGCAAGAGGGTATAAACGGCGCGATTGGGAATGCTCACTTAGTCGTGATGTTTTCCCGTTATAGATCACGTGTCATTCTCTGAAACTAAGATTCTCTGTTTGAGTTGTAACCAAGCATATTTTAAAATGTGTTTTCTAATGCGCAACCGTTAAGCAAACAAATGATACTCTAGGAAATGACACATGGTCTGAAATGGGAAAACATTACCCCAATTTAAAGGGTCTATAGTGAGAGACCAAAAGTGGTTATTAGTTGTATTTCAAACCTAGATGACCTGGATCAGACCCTTGAAAAAAAAGACTCCCTGATTTATACCTTCCTCGCCTCTGCTGCCATGTCAAAAGCACTAACTTCTTTTGCTCTTTCCAATTCCTTTGAAACACTAGGGATCTAAGTAACAGAAAAATTAGATACGACTTTGAACAACCCTAAGAAACTGGTAGTACTAGGTATGGGAACAAGAGGGCAGGCAGGGGATATGTAAGAGATGTCTAGCGGACAAGGGGATGTGTGAAGAAATCACCCTACAGGTTTTAAGTGAGTACATGATTGACCAGTGAGCTGTCGTATGGAAGCGGAGAGAAGGAAAAGGAAGGAAGGATACCTGAAGGTCGGGGGGGGGGGGTACTCCGCCAGAATTTGGGTAGGGGTGTTCCGCTGGGATTCTGAAAGGGGTACCCTGTTTATGACAAAAAAAAAAACAAATTTGTAGACCCTGTTCATGACAAAAGATATAATTAATTGCACTGAGTTCCCGTTTCAATTATCATGTCATCTCGCGTATCGTTTTTTTACGACCATAATAACCAGTTTCAGTCAATACGAAAGTAGAATCCCTGAATATGACAGGAAACTCAGGAAGAACTT